CATACATAGACATCATGGAAAATGTCTTAATTACGGATGGCTAACAGAGTGGAGGGATAACAAGAGATTATCAGTCAATATGTGGTGGCCAATGGTTGCGAAGGTGACAAGTTGTGTGCAAAAAGGATGATGTTGAAGTCGATAAAGAGTTCAAGACCATCAGGGAGAATCAATTTCACTCTTGATGAATGGGTGAAACCTCCACCCTCCACAACAAGTGCGGGGCATTTGGCCGTGGTTTCAGAAACAGTACTCCAATGAAGAGGAAGTTGGAGTTACTTCATAAAAGATTAATAATATATACGTGAAATTCATGTTTTGAGTGTGCCTATACCAATTTTGAACTCAGATTCACATTAGACAGGTGTGCTCCTTGTGGTTCAATCCCAACAAAGGGGGAATCGTTAGTGGGAGGTAAGGGTGGGTAAAGTTGTCGTCGACAACTAGAGTGGGGGCAACTAGATTGAAGTTTAATTGGGGCTTGTTTTATTTTCTCCTTTTTGGTTCATATTATTATTTTTTAACTGAAATTAAGACTATAACTATCTCTTTAGTAAAAAAATAAATTATTTTCCATTAGTCTAATAAAAGAAGCCATCCACTAAAGACCATCAATGGTACAAAATTTTCTTTAAAAGAAGGGAAATGCTATAATTACCGGGGAGTTGACAACCACCCTCATCGCCCCTCACAATGGTGGGGTGGCGGTACAAACATCATTTCCCTTAAAAGAAACCTTAAAAATGTTAAATCTGGAAATATTTTCTTAAAGGCCAAATACTGAAAAGTCAAATCTTAAAGGAGAGGAAAATGGAAAAATAAAATAAAAATCCGCTCTTGGAACAGCCCACTGGAATGCCAACAATGGCCAGTGGTTTTCATTTCCTCCCTCTTTAAAACCAACTGTAAAATGTAACCCTTGCTCATGTCCCCCATGTACTCAACCCCACCCCCCCCCCGGTACCCTCGACCCACAACCCACCAAATCATCCTCATCTTCATCCTCATGCATAAACTGCACAGCAGATATGCACACTTTCACATCTCAATCAATCTTTTAACCTTCTACAGAAATTTTTAAGTACATGTAGCAGTTCTGTATAGGGTTAGCACCTATTTACATATATAAAGCTGTTTCTTCGACAGCCCAACATTCTTTTTCTCTTCTTTTCTTGGTTTTTTATATCATTTTCTTGAAGTTCTTGAAAAACCCATATCAAATTTTATATTTTTGTGTATTTCTTTTGATGCAAATGGGGATTGAACAAAACGGGTCTGGTGGGAAAGTGAAGGGGAGAAATGAATCAAAGAGGAACAAGCGGAGGCAGAAGAAATTATCGCCGGTTCAGAAGATGTATGAAACCTGCCAAGAAATTTTTGCCTATTGTGAACCCGGTGTTGTTCCGGCACCTGAAAAAATCGAAAAACTTGCGGCTTGTTTGGGTATGAATTAATCTTTTCCCTATTGTAATTCTCAATGTTGCTGTGTTTCTCAATCATTGAATCTTTTTTTTACCAGTGTCTTTGTCTTTGCGTTGCATTTTAGGAAGATTATTCTAATGTTCTTGCCCTTTTTTTGTACAAAAATATCTGCATATTTCTTTGGTTCAATGCTGGAGAAGTTTGGAATTTTACAGCATTTCTCTGGCATTGATAGAATTTCTGTTGATTTTTTGTGGTGCTGAATTTTTCGATAATTGGTTTGATTGATTGGTTTTAATGCATTAAATGGCTTCATGTTTTCTAATAAAAATGCTGGTAATGCTGTCACATTTAGAAAATGCTTCATGCAAGACGTAATTTATTTATTTGACTGGAAAAAATGTGTTGGTTAAAATCTATCAACCACATCGATTATGACGAAGGGTCTCGGAGGAATTCGTCTTTCCCTTCGCAAGCGATATCGACCCTATTGACAGATTTTGATTGATACTAGAACAGTATGAATGCCACATTTTTCAAGCATATCAATGTCGCCCTTTTTATTTAAAGCTTATTTTAATATAAAATCAAATTTCTTATTCGTTTCTATTTGGTTCCTGGCATTTAATTCTCAACGTGGGGTCGTCTCATTTCAAAGATTAGACAGATTTCAGCTTTCCTCTTCTTTCTCTATGTTCAATACAAGTCCACGTATCATACAAGCATTAAATGTCTCCTTGTTCATGGCTAACAAGGATTTTAAACCGAATAAATTCCTTTGTGCGTACAGATTTGCGAACTGCTATGTGATTTCAATATCGAGTCCTACTGCAAGCTAAATAAACTTAATTCTTGCAGATACGATGACTCAAGCAGACGTCGGCCTGAAGCCAAATATGCCATTTTTGGACGATAAAAGAGCACCCGCGATAACCTATCTGCACCTTCATGAGTGTGAAAAATTCTCAGTAAGTATGCTTTTTGCATCCCCAAACCCCATACTGTAAACCTGCCTCATGCCCCCACCCCAGCAAAAGTAAAATCCTATTTATTGTGCTGATTGGTAACTATTGCAGA